GTGTGTGTACGCGTGCGTGCGTGCGTGCGTGTGTGTGAGACCTGAGACCTTCCATGAGAGCGCGCATAGGGCTACTTGGCACGCAGGTAATGCTCGGCCATACAGCTGCACCCGGATAATAATCGTAATTGATCTCCACGAACAGGGGAATCACCGACGGAAAAGCGAGACGCCAAGTCCACGGCGTCCATCGTGCACACATACAAATGCACCGGCCCTATCATCTATAGTGCTGAGTCGGTGCGGCGGGACTCCCACTAATTCGATTTACTTGGCACAAAAAAGAAGTATTTGTTGTATTACATGCTGCAGGTACAGGTTTCTGATGTGTCATGATATAGGTGGACTTTGCTAGACTTTGGGGGTTTATGATACCGGTGCAATCTCATATACGGGCGGTAGAAAGTTCAAGCTTATACTTATTGGAAAGGAAGGGTGTACTCAGGTTTAGCATTCTAACATTAGGGCAACCAAGAATGTTTCCAACTTTGGCGTGGCAAGAAAAAAGTAAAAAGTATAGTGCCAAGCTTCGGAGAAGGTGTTGGCGGGTGCCATTGTGCGCGTGTGGGTGTAACAGGGCCAGCGCTGGGCGTGCGGGGGAGTGTGGCTCGTTATTAGCGAGTATATGGTATGGGTATGCAAGAGCGAGTGCCATGCCCTTTGTGGGACTCGATGACGGGAACCTCTGACCCGAGACGGAAGGGAGTTCGTTTTCAATGCACCCCCCTCCCACACACACACACACACTCACACTCATTCACTCACTCTGTATAACCCCCCCCCCTCTCTCTCTCTCTCTTTCTTTCTCTCCCTCTCTCCTTCTCTCTCTCTCTCTCTCTCTCTTTCTTTCTCTCCCTCTCTCCTTCTCTCTCTCTCTCTCTCTCTCTCTCTCTCTCTCTCTCTCTCTCTCTCTCTCCTTCTCTCTCTCTCTCTCTCTCTCTCTCCTTCTCTCTCTCTCTCTCTCTCTCTCTCTCTCTCTCTCTCTCTCTCTCTTTCTCTCTCTCTCTTTCTCACTCTCTCTCCTTCTTTCTCTCTCTTTCTCTCTCTCTCCTTCTTTCTCTCTCTTTCTCTCTCTCTCCTTCTTTCTCTCTCTCTCCTTCTTTCTCTCTCTCTCTTTCTCTCTCTCTCCTTCTTTCTCTCTCT